CAATGTTCAATACCATGAATTCTTTTATCTAATTTAAATATTCTGATAACTTTAAATAAGAAAAACATTAACAACTATGTTTCTCTGCCATCAGTTGTTCTCTTGGTTTTATTTTGTATTCCCCTTGAAAGAATTCTAGTATTTCACAATATGTTAGCCATTTGTGTTTGCCTATTATTTCTTGTTTATAGAATGCTTTTTGTGCTGAGAGTGACAAAGGTGTTCTTGGGCACAGCCTGGATTTGTGTCTATTCCATATTCTCAGTATGGCACATCTAACATAATGATTTTTGAAATCGACATTAATCTTGACTTTATCATATCACAAATACCCATGCCACCTAAATCTCAGGTCACCATATCTGGAGGTTACAGAAGTCATGGCTAGTGATGTTACCACTCTGATCCCCAGAGAAGGCATCCCTTTAATATTTTGGGGCAAAGGAGAGGGGTTTAAGGGACAAATGTCTATCTCCCAAAGACTAAACTTTCTTCAATGAGTTTTTTTCAATCCCTTTTATTTCCTTTAGTTCTTTTTAGAGCTTTGTAAAGCTTCAAGGAATTTAACTAATGCAATCATTTACTCTGGCACATTTGGCCACCAATTTTTTTTTTATTCTCAGTTATATACTATATGAACAAGAAATATTTAGAATCATTCACTGAAAAATAAAAAGGCATGAGAGTATTTTATATGTAATAGTGCTTTTTTTTTCCAATAGTGGCATATCCTGAGAAAAATTAGATACTTCTAGCCGTGTTTCCCAATATTCATAGTGTATTCATACAGAAGCTATATTCCCAACACAAATGAAATGCCATGTAATCAGATAATATATACTTCATGCTCTACCATTCCTATATTTATTTTTCTTTTTAAAACAAACAATGCATTTCTTCTTTCCATTAACATCAAGTGAAAACACACCATTCATGTGTGTGTCTATAATTGTGAACTAGGAGCCCATAAACAATGCTATTTAATAGACTTTATGTGAAGACAAAACTATGGTTGTCTGATCTCTATGAATGTTCCTGATAGCAGAATGCTTTCCAGTTAAGGAGAAATATTAAATAAGTGAAGGTACTGAACAAACATGGCCCAACAGTGGCACTATCCAGAGGACAGATTTAGATTCTTTACTTCCTTCTGTGTTCCTGAAGTGTCCTCATTATCTTTGTACAGTATGACAGAAATTTAAGATGCCATGAAAAAGCTCAGTGCTTCAGGAATTGGTGGGCTAATCTCAGGAGAGATGCAAACTAAATGAGATCACCCTAGTACCAAAATTATAGTGTAATCTCCTGGGACTTCCAACATAGCTCTCCAAACTTGCTCCAAATGTTTTGACAATTATATTCCTTCTGGATTTAGCATGTGAATCAAGACTGCATTAAGATGATAGCCTGTCTAAATCTTCATATTACTGTCCTGGTTTCTGCAGAAAATTTAAGGATAGGACATAATAATTTTTACTTTAATCCAGGAAATGTGACAGGCAAACCAAAAGTTTTACTAACTGAGATGGTTTAGTAAAACACAAAGAACTCTACAGTGTTTAACAGGTTCATGATTTAGCCAAGGCATAGCTAGCAGTGCATCTATTATGAATATGGAAGCAAGAAAACAATTAAACCAGCCACTCCATCTACAGCTATTGTTCTATAAAAGCAGTGAACAATGGACCATCAACATGGGATGTATCTTTGCTATATGGGGAAAGGACAGAAAGAAAGAAAAATTCTCTGTCTGGAAATGTTAGACGTCTGGACCAACTAATAAATGAATGCACAACAGCTTTTAAGATGAATGACAAACACATTTTACACAAATCGTAATTGCATAAGAAAATTCATTTTGCAGAATGTCATGATGCATAGATTACATAAATATTAATATAAAATATCAATTCCTATTATCCCTGACAACCAGAAAGCAGTACATGCTAGATTAATGGTACAATCAACAAGAATCTATTATCTCCATCACACCTACTTGAAACATTCACAGAACATTAAACTGGCCATTTAGTATAAATGGACTTCTTCAGTTGCAAAACTATTCTTTAATATACCATCTTATTTCTTGAAGCTTTATGACTATTTTTGAAACTACTGCATGTTTCTGCTTTGAAGACAGCTTTTTGGAAGAGATGACAGTCTACAGTGTGCTGTCCTTTGAGATTAGCACCATGCACTATGATAATACTGAGACTTCAGTCATGTGAAGAAAACAAACAAAACAAAATTATCTAGCTCCCTTAGTTAGAGGCCATTCTGTTTTTTAGAAGGTCATCTGCAAATCAGAGTTTGGGAACATTATTTCTCAAATCTCCCTGCTTGCTGCAATACTGTGATTTTCTCTTCATTCAGAAAAAGATGCTGTGCTGTCCTTAAATCACTGAGATGCAGAACTTTTCCAGCACAGCTACCATTGACCAGCACAATGTATAAAATAACACTGCTATGGTCCATGTTCGCTTCTCTGTGATACCTATCATGTATGGGCAATATTTGCAGACTTAGGCATAGCTTTGAGGCAGCAGAGCAAACTTTCCTTCCAATTAGCTGCACCTACAGTATTCATATTGTTAGGTATATGCTTTCATCCATCAGTCACCCCAAGCAGAACTGTGTGAAGTTCAGAAATGCATAGGTGAACAGCAAATTTAGATACATTTAACTTGTGGCTCCCTAATTTATTGATTATATGTTTTCTCTCCAGTACTGCCATTTGATATTTCAGCCATTATTTCTTACAGATCTCATGTTTGACTAGGAGTTGCTTTTCTGAAATAATGTAATAGAGGGCATGATTCAATGCTTCCTATTTCTATTTCTATTCTATTCCTATTTCCTAAAATAATTGGATGTTACTTAAGCAATTACTATTACTGGCTTCCTAAAGAGAAGAGCAGACTTTTGCAAGATGCAGGATATTTTGACATGTGAGATTTAAAGAAGTTATTGCTTCAGTCAATTCAGTAATACATTTTTTGAAAACACATCAGGAAGAACTCTTGTTTACATTATAAATAACTTTTCTCCATTTTTTAAATATGAAAAATAACCAAGGGAATTAGGGAAACAGCACAAGAGGCTCAAAGTTAATGCAATATTCATGTATAAAAATATCCACAAATTTAATACACACATCATGCCAAGCTATGGTTTGTTCAACTATTGTTTGCTAAATAAGCCATACTGGCTGAGTTTGCACATGCTAAGCCATAAGCCATGGCCTATTAATCACAATAGCTTAGCAATAATGTGGCTAAACATATTATGTTGCCGAATCCAGCCATAGCTTTCTCCTGTGTTTAACAGCAAACTCAGAAAACTCAAAAGATATGGATTGTTGTAGCAAATCAGGTTTTTTTTTTTCCTTTACCACATGTACAAATTATTCCATAGCCACTAGCAAATGAGAAGGGATTGGGTTTTTTTGTGGTTCTGTGGGTGTCCATATAATAGATATGCATGCAGGATAATTACAGCTTATAGGCCAGAAAAGGTTTGGAAATGTCAACTTCAATCACAAAGTGTAATTAATATGCATCATGGTTCTTTCCAATAAAAAAAAACACTCAGCAACTGTTACAATCCTCAATTCAATAGAGGACAACTCCAAACATGCTTTGGGCTTGTCCCCAAGCTTGAGAAAAAAGGAGCTTGGTAAGGCTGCTGCCCATCACAGATGACCTGATTTGCCTCAGCAAAAGCCTAAGAATTGCCAGCAGAAAGTAATAATTCAGGTTTCTTTGGTGTTTTCATTTAAGAAATAGTTTGTTCTCTTCTATAAGCCAGCACTGAAATGGGAACTCTAATAATTGGTTTCCCATTTATCATGTGCTTAGTTATTATAACAGCATCATATCCTGGAATTCACAATACTTGGATGTCTATAGCAGGTTGTGAAGTCCCAGCATCTTGTATGCTTGATTCCTGCTGTGAATCTTCACTTCCATTTAATTTCCCCCCCCTCTTTCCTTTATAAGTGTTTTCCAGGTCAGAAGCATTGCACTTCCATGGTTTTCTTTTTGTATCTTCTGCAGTATCAACATCTGGATTCTTTTCTTTGTCACTGTCCACAGTCTCAGTTGGCTTCTCCTCTGAAAGGTTCTGACATGTCTTCTCTTCCTGGCTGTCTTTGAATGTTGTTACCTTTTCTGTATTCACTTCTTGCTCTTTGTTTTCTGATCTACTAGATCCTAGATCTGATGGGGATTTTTCATCAGAAGCTACCTGATTTTGTTTCTCCTGATGGTCTATACCACCTACAGGGGCAGGTGAGGGCTTCATAGTTTCATTATTGTCCATAAATACACCTTCCTCCTCCTCCTCCTCCCCAGCTTTGGAACCATTTTCTTGAGGTGAAACTGTCACCCCCAAATCTAGGTCATCTCCATATTCTGATTGTGATTTTCGAAACCTTCTAGAAGGTGGTCTGCGTTTTATTGATCCTCGTGTCCTTACCTGAAAGTGGATAAAGCTGTGATTGAAATAAGAACATGACCTAGACCAGACATCATTAAAAACAACCAACAGAACTGCATTCATTTCTGGACACACTATAAGTTATTCTTTATAAGTTTAATCTTTAGCATTACCTTCTCTTTCACACAAGAGAACTTATGATCGTTCCTTAACAAAAAGTGATAGTCCCAATATTTTTTTCAGTGCCAACTAGTATGTAGGAATACAAGCAGTTTGGCCAATGTGGTTTTTGTGGATAAGAAATATGATCCCCTTCCAACGTAAAGATCATCATCTCTGTGCTAATTGTGGTTACAGTATTTAAAAACTGACAGATTTTTAAATTTAGTCTATTTTTAAAATACAAACATTGGGCAGAAGCTCCAGGATTATTTTCTTATTCACTCACAGAAACAATGATTTTGAATGGAAGAGTGGAACAGTGAATGAACTAGGATATACTACTGCTGATACAAAGGAACAAAGTATGTGACCCAAAGGCCAATAGTTTTCTACATGAGCAGATATTTCTTTGTGAAAACTGGAGTTCTGGTTGCTTTAGCCAAGCTGGAGTTTATAGTAGATAGTTTGCATCTGCAGGATCAGTCTCTCCAAAGTAAGAATGCATAAAGGAGCAGACAGATTAAAATCCAAAGTGCCAGTTTGGGGCAGTCAAAATGTAGGCCACAGAAGAGTTATTTAAAGGTGCTCAAGAGTAGAGGAATCTATAGAGGACTATTAGGTATGGAAGGTTAGTGAGTGTAGGGAGTTGTCAGAGACAAAATTAGATCATCTGAAAGGAGCCACAAGCAAAGCTGGAAGGCTGGCAATAGGAGCTAGGAAGCAAAGTGAACAGAAGAAAGAAAATCTGTCAGTGTATTACAGGTATGCATATTCGTGTAAGGTAGCAAGTGAAAGGAAGTGGGGCATTTAAAGAAATCTCAGTCTCACAATCATATGTACATGAAGCTATATGCAATTCCAGATATTCAAGTCTGAGGAATGTTGTTCATCCTGGCTGTCATTTGCCTACCAATGTCAAACAATATTCTAACATTTCAACCCCTTAAAAATATTCTCAGGACAGAATTCAGGTAGCAGTACTACACTAGCAAAATCACATGCAGTTCAAGACTATTTTTCTTAAAAATAGAAAGTGTATGCAGTGTACCTAGTATAGTATTGCTATTATCAAATCCAATAAATGGAACTGATATTCCAGTCAACTGACCTTGAAAATTTTCTTTAAAATACTCATTTACCCTAATTAATTTAACTGTCACTTGATCAAAATTCTTTGTGATCTGTCTGAAAACTGCTAGAGTTGTTCATTGACTCCGTTCTCTTTAATATTCATGTTTTGATGGTACTAAATTTTGAGAAATTTCCTTCCCCCTTGACTTTTTCTTTCCCTTTTCCTCTAAATTTTCACTATCATGGATGACCAGCCTATACCTTACCTTATTATAAAACTGAAGATGAATGCCTTCTGGTGGTTGATCAAAACTAACTGGAGATTCATCAGGATTACTTGAATGAGTCTGTGGGCTGACAGGTGTGGATGGTGGACTATTAAATGGAGACACCATTGCCTTTAGCCCAGGGCTTTTAGGAGAAGCTCCTGGCAGCATGGAAGCTGGAGCAAGTGCCAAACTGGCCTGTAAAGAAAATGAGTGAACCATAAATAAGATCTTTCACTTCCTTCCCAATATTTGAAATTTTGCCTTAATATTAATCACTTTATCTATCACTTCAGTATATTAGTTTATGGAGCACATTTAATAGTAGCAAAACAGGGAGATTCCTAAATGCTTAATAAGGATATATGCCAAGGAATTATGTATATCTTTTTTTCTGGAAAGCACCTCTGCCAGCATGATTAAGAACTAAAAAGTATTCAGGGGTGAGCATGGAACTTGAAAACTGCTATCAACTTTATTTTCTGGGGAGTGATTAATCAGGCTCACCTCCAGAATGAAATAAACAAAATACCAATAGAAGAGAATATGTGTAGCTCAGGGTTGAACTGTGGAGTCCTTGGGGTTCTCT